GGAAAGGAACCGAGGAAACTGCATGCGGCAGCCAGTCTGGGGCGGAGCTTCCCATATATATGGCAAGGCATGGCACTTGTTATACCTCAATTTTCTAGCAATTCTCCCTCCTTAATCATCCCAAGCTAGGTATGTCATGAACGCTTTGAAAAGATATCTCAATCTGTTGCTCTGCTAAAGTGGTCTAAAGAAGAAGAACAGAACGTATGAACACATTTGTTGAGAGAGCTGAGCCGGTACCACTGGCCGTCGCCTGGCCTGCGCTCCGCCTTCCTGTGCATCGTGCCTTGATGAGTTCAGCCGTACGCCCGTACGCGACTATGCTAGGAGCTAGGAGGCAACGACAGGAGTGACCCTGATAGCCCAAGTCCCAATCCAATTACATCAGCCGCCAATCATGATAAGGTGATTTAATTTGTGGAGTTGTTTTATTTGTTGGGTAATTAACTAATTATTTTTTACTGGTTTTTAGTTGATTAATTTATGAAGCATATTGATTAAGTGAACAAAATTAACTAGACGTGATCCAAAAGAAAAAGGACAATGCCAAAAGAAGACCCAAAGCAAGAGGTATACTCCAAAATTTAATGCAAAATTTGTGCAGTATATTGTAGTCTTGTAGATGGCCAACTTAATGCAAAATTAATTGGAATTATGCTCTTAACACTTTCATCTATATATTATCATATGTTCTTGTTCATGTATTTCGTACTTGACGAATGGAAATCAATACAATTTTCATTTATATGATAATATGAACCAAAATTTCATTCAAATCCTAGGCTACCTATGTTATCTACTTTGCCGCTTCGCCATACCTTAATTCAGTTCCTTCCTCCGCCACTGAGCCAGCGGGTGTGACACTGACAGCAAGAGAGCTACTGCCTACTGGTCTACAGGATGTCTGGATGTGGAAGGAAACCCTCTTCACTGTCCATCTGTCAGTACATGTGGATGGAAACGACTCCGAGCTGGGCCTGGAATTGCTAGCCTGATGCATTCATGCATGCAGCGACCATGCATGGCGTCTGAGACAGGGCAGCAAGGGGAGTGGCGGCAGCACTTGCAGCAATGGCGTCAGTCCCTGTCTGCCTGGTTGGGCGATAGCCCGATAGCAGTTTGTTACAGTAAGTGTTTAATACATGTGGGATGATCATCGAAGATGCCAAGATGGTGTCTGCCAGCAACTGCAACAGCAACAGCAGCACAAGGGAGTTAGGCGTCCATCAGCAAGGGTTTGGATCAACAAAGCCAGAGAAGGATGGATGGCAAGATGGCAACGAACCTGGCTGACAACTGACGCGGCAAGGATGCAGATGCAGCTGCAGCCTGCAGAGTGCTGCAAGTTCAGGTTTCAAGCAGAAATATCTCGTGGGAACAAGGTCACAGGATTACCTATTATTGATATTGACTGCGGCTGCTTCTTTTTGTTGGGCAATTTGGCTCACTAGGAACAATGGTCACCTTTTTTTTTTTTTTGAAGATTCTCTTTAGGGGACGCACTGGCTTTGCTTCTAGGCTCAATGACAACGCTCGAAATGGATCATTGCAAAAATCAGATTCAAGAGGCATGCAAATTTATGGAAATAAATGCCATGCAGTTGTCTCTAGTTTAGAGCCTTGTAATATAAGTTTTAACGTTGGGTGCTTTTATCGTTTTTTGTGTGGACTAATGCTTTCTTTTCGAAGAGGACTGGAACCGGAACTGTTTTTCATTATTAAAAAAAAAGGTCACACGACTTGGTAGTTGTCATTCTGTATCTTAACTTCTGTGAGAAATTGGGCCCCCAGTTCGGCCCGCGAGCCAGAAGTAAGTGCAATGCAGGCTAGCAGGCGCGTGCCCTGCTGGGCTATTTCCTGCTTCCAAGTAAGCCCATTCAGCCAGCCAGACCAAAATGAATCGGGATTTTGTGTCATGCAGCGGCACCAGAGATATGAATGCAGCCGGGGATGAAAACGAACCAAACGGGCGAAAAAACACCCCTCCCTACTCCCTTTGTTTCTGTTCCTATATTGTTTTAAGATCCAGGATCCAAAACGAAATCAGGGTATACGGATAGATGGAACCGAACTAATATGGACGGAGAGCTAGAAAATTAAATTGGGAACAGGATCTAATATTAAGTATACATGTATAAAGTCACGTAACAATATACACATATGAAGATTGGTTTAATATTAACATGCATACCATGATTAGTAGGTTTATATTAACATAACACAATGACGTATATCTGTTAGGCATATTCCACGTAAATTTAAAACGGGATAAATACAGGTTCCCTATAAAAACGGAATCCCGCAAAAACAAACAACACCTTTATACGAAGGAATAAAGTAAAAACCTGCCAGGACTTCTTTACATCCCCCGTTCTTTCTCCCCAAATCTTCATCGAGAAGACAGCAAAAAAAGAGATTTCTTTCTACCCATTCTTCATCGAGAAAGACAACGAAAGAAGAGATTTATAGTTCTACCTCTGCCAAAAAAAATATGGATTTGGATTGAATCAAAATTTCTTAAATCTAACTAATTTCATAAAAAAATACTATGAACATTTATAAATGTAAATAAAATACTATAAAATTAAATACATTTTATGATTAACCGAATGATATTTATTTAGTATTATAAATGTTAGTAGTATATTTTTTAAAAGACACCCCCAAGGCATGTTACACGTTATTGTACCAGAATTATAGGCATCTTATACGTCATACTTAAATCATATTAAGAAAAACAAGAACTAGTATATGAAAGGCCATGCGCCAAAAAAATACAATCGAATTCAACGAGATATTTGTTCATTCTGGGTTAACTCTTAATAGCTAATAAAGCAAGATCCTCGTTCCAAACCGTCTACTTGTCACATGTGACCTGAATTCTGAAGTGGAATCATATCTGATACTCCCCTCCTTCCAAAAAAAAGAGTGTCGTTTTTTACTTTCAGACAACTTGTTTAACCATCCGTCTTATTCAAATATTTTATATAAATGTCATCTATTTTGTTATGACTTATTTTATCATTAGAGATACCTTAATAATGATTTATTTATTTTATAATTTACATAAATTTTTTGAATAAGACGAACGGTTAAATACGATGTTTGAAAGTAAAAAAACGTCACTCTTTTTGGGGCAGATAGAGTATTTCTCTAAGCTGATAATGTACAACTAATTTACGCCAATAATGTATGTGCATACTCCTTCCGTCCCGTAATAAAAGCATTGTCGGGTATCGATATTAGGGATATCCAGAGCAAGGAAGTTAGCGCCCCCGGATGGCTCGAGACGTATTAAAAGGTCCCGTCCGACCCCAAGGTCGCGGGCTCTGTCTCGCCCAACCTCGAGGCCGTGGACTCCGTCTTGTCCGACCCCTTGGGTGTTGGCTCCATCTCGTCCGATCCCAAGGCCGCGAGCTCCGTCTCGCTCGACCCCTTGGGTGCGGGCTCCGTCTCGTCCGACCCCAAGGACGCGGTTTCCGTCTCGCCCAAGGTCGCGGGCTCCGTCTCACCCGACCTCGAGGACGCGGGTTCCGTCTCGTTCGACGGGGACCCATACCGCCGCCAACCACTCCAGGTCCAAGCATATGAGTCTGGGTCAAAACTCTGACACCAGGAAAGAGGCTGACACGCCTCGATGTAACCCATGGCCATGACGGGCTAAACCTAGGGATTCACATCAAGAACAGTGTCGGACGTGCCTGTGCTGTTCTGCCTAATCCTCGTACGGACGTTGATAGGCGCGTCAGTTCACCACGACGTCCACCGGGATAGAGTGGAACGCCATGACTGATAGATGACGCCTGCACATGGCGCCAGTGACGAACAGGGCTACGACATGCAGCCGTCCCTATTGACATCTACAGGATCGACGAGACCCGCATGAAGGAGAAGGACCCAGCAACCCTGGAAGCCTTCTTCTCTCTCGTTCTTCTACTTTTCCTCCTCTATAACCCGTACTTTCCCTTCGCCTATAAAAGGAAAAGCAGGGCGCCCCATGAAAGAGGAGATCTGGGACGGGGGGATCTTGACATAAGAGCACGACACGAGCACACGGTTGAGCGGCAAGCGAGCTCTCAGTACTCGTTTACTCCTTCTATCAGAGACTTGGGATCCTCTCCCTCTCTCACCTGTTTGTAACCCTTACTGTAAGCCAAATGCCAGTAACACGAGCAGCAGCGAACTGGACGTAGGGACGTTCCGCCCGAACCAGTATAAACCCTTATGTCGAGCACACCATCTGAGTCAGATGCGTAAATATAAATTTACTCGTCGGTGGTCCGAAAACACCGACAAGCACGTTTAGGATTCAAATGTGTAAAATACTGTAGCTGTGAAATTATATTTTTACCCCTACAACTGTGAAATTATATTTTTACCCCTACAAAGTGTATTGCAGTGATTGTTAGTGCAGGTGCAGCCTGCCGGCTGCCGCTGGACGGGACTCCAGTGGAAACGAGCAAGCAGGGGTCCAGACACTTCCACGTAGCTCCCGTCAGAATTTTGTTGCTCCCAACGTGATTGTCCACAGCTGTTGAGCTGGGGCAGCTAGCCCCAGTACTGTTCCTATATTTACCTTCATTTGTGGGACAAATTTCAAACTCCAGATGCGCTTTTATTTTGAGACGGAGAGAGTACAAAACAAGTACAGTGGGGAGTTACAGCCTTACAGGTGCCTGAAATGTTATTTAGCTGAGCAACGGTATCAAGTTCAGCGCCACGTCGACAAAAGACTCTGTCCACGGATACTGGTTCAAAATTGGTGAGCCAAAAAAGAACAAATGACACTATATTTCTTGAGCAAACCATATGATTTCGCCATTACAAGGATCTTTACATGTACTCTACAAAAGCTATGACAACAACCGGCGACATCAGAAACAAGAATGGTCATTGACCAGACGAAGGGGTAGGGCAAGCAGGAGGCAGGGGTAACAGCAATCAGGGCCATATAATTGATGAGAGGCTTTAAATTAGAAGCGAATACAATTTGCATCCGTTTAGTGTCGTCTTGTATTTGAGCCCCGTATCGTGACACCATGCAAAAATTTGGTAAACCCAAGAAAGTTAAGCTTGCCGTCCGACTTTCTGATCCACTCTTGCACGATGGAGTAATGAGTCGGCGCGAGATTTAGTTCCTACACACAATGAAAGATGTCAGGGTACTTAATTATGCCCTAAATATAGGATGGAGAAAAATAAGGTGATCTTCCACATGGATCCAAGTGTGCATGCTGAAAATGTTGATCCAAAGGATAAGCACATCCGCTGAATACCTGTGCTAACTCCTCAACCGATATAACTCGGTTGCCCTCCTGTTCGAAGTGCTGAAAAGCTGTTCCAGCAATTTCTTCCCACGTTTCCAAAGCCTCGAGCTGGTATGGGCTGATTGTTGCAGCACAGAATTCTTCAAAGTCCATCTTTTTGTATGCAAGTGGTTCCAGCTGAGATAGAAACATGAGAAGGTCAGTAACTTCAACCATCAATACAATAATTACTGGAAATAAAAATCACAAGATGCAAAAGTTGTTCTAAAATAAAGGATTTAAGCAACAGGTCTGAAACATCACGACATCAGCTCAAAATTGAGCATAAGGCATTGTTTAAATATTACAGTTAAAGATAATCATATGGAAATTTCCTATCGATATCCCATCAGACGGATATGATAAGCATCACAATATAATCCTTTGCTTAGGGGCATAGTGATGAATCCTTACCGCATGCAAAAACTCAAGAACCCTTGATTCTCTCATAGCATCAGTTAAGTATCTTGTCAGAGCCTGGTTACACCACGGGAGTTAAGAAGTTAGAACATGAACATAATGCGCATAGGAGGACATGAGCAAGTGTTCTGCTTTTGACATGTCTTCATAATGATGAGGCAATCAGCAACAACAAATAACGTACCGTCCGAAAGTTGTCGAGTGATACAAACCCATCTCTGGGTTCAAGCAGCTTAAACTGCAATCTAAGATACAAAAGTTCATCCTCCCTTAAAGCCTTAGACAGTGCCTGTGACAAAGAAAGATTAAGTGTTACTACAATATAACTACATTAATGAGTGGTACTTTGCTGGTTGTCAGTTACACTACAATTTGCCACTATGAACATATTTGTACTCATGACTTTTATGGACGTCCATAATCGTTTTGGAGCACTATTATGACCAGCAACACCAGCCTCTCATAATAAATTGAAAAGGTACAGGATCACAAAGTAAAATAAAATATAAACACCTAAAAATCATTGCAAAGGCATATACTATTAGTCTAGCACAAATAGAAACATACACCGCTCATGAACCCATCTTCTATAACTTCTAATGTTGGGAGGGTTAAACAGCCATCATGTGGCCTCTTTAGCACATCTAGCACATGTACATTTATCAAATGCATATTCCTGTATCAACAAAGATCGATGAAGAATAGAAAGAATGTTTACAAATACAGAAAAGGCCATGAAGTCTGTACTGCACCTTTAATGCCAAACGTTTAAGAGGAGTAGCACGAAGATATTGCTTAACTAATCTGAAAATGAGTATGTCCAATGGAATCTGTCTTTGTTCATCTCGTAACCAAGGGTGAGCTGCAAACAGGTAAGGGAAAAGTAAATTCAACTTTTTTTCATTATCATATCATATAATGTTTTTAACTAGCAGTTCCTAAAAATAGATGTTAATAAAATCTGCTTAAAGTACAAAAAGCAAAGTGAGATATTGTGATATCACAATCACGGGGCAACACAAAATACTCATATGTGGTGACTTACTCATTGCTTGGACAGCTGTCATTCTTTTGCGGTAATCCTTGTTCAGAAATCTCTTCACAAAATCCTTAGCTTCAGCTGATACTGAAGGCCATGGTGAATCGTCAAAGTTGGGATCAGCCCTCAACACGGACCGGAAGATCCCAGATTCTGTCCTTGCCCAAAATGGCCTACTGCCACAGAGCAGAATGTATGTTATGACACCTATACTCCAAATGTCTGCTTCCATACTGTACGATCTGTGTAGGACCTCCGGAGCGACATAATATGCACTTCCAACAATATCATTGAGCCTTTCATCTGCATTAGATAGCACAGAAAATACAAAATTAAGTATAAGATTGAGTTAATGACAACAACAACAACAATAACAACATAGCCTTTCAGTCCCAAGCAAGTTAGGGTAGGCTAGAGTTGAAACCCACCAAGAGCCGCAAGTCACGGTTCAGGCACTTCAATAGCTGCTTTCCAAGTACTCCTATTCAAACATAGATCTCTAGGTATATCCCAAACTTTCAAATCTCTTTTTATTGCCTCCCCCCATGCCAATTTCGGTCTTCCTCTACTTCTTCTCATATTATTAGCTTGGCTTAGGACTCCACAATGCACTGGTGCCTCTGTAGGTCTTCTTTGTACATGGCCAAACCAGCTCAACCGATGTTGGATAAACTTTCCTTCAATTGGTGCTACCTCTAGGCGATCACGTATATCATCGTTCCGAACTCGGTCCATTCTTGCGTGACCGCAAATGCATCGCAACATACGCATTTCTGCAACACTCAGTTGTTGAACATGTCGAATCTTTGTAGGCCAATATTCTGCTCCATACAACATAGCCGGTCTAATCGCCGTTCTATAGAACTTGCATTTTAGCTTTTGTGGTACCCTCTTGTCACAGAGAATGCCAGAAGCTTGTCGCCACTTGATCCACCATGCTTTGATTCTATAGCTAACGTATGCATCAATATCTCAATCCCTCTAGAGCACCGATCCTAGATACCGAAAGGTATCCTTCTTAGACACTACTTGACCTTCCAAACTCACATCTCCCTCCTACTATACAACTCCGCCAAAGTCGCATCTCATGTATTCGGTTTTAGTTCTGCTCAATCTAAAACCTTTAGACTCAAGGGTCTGCCGCCATAACTCTAGTTTCCTATTTACTCTCGCCTGGCTTTCATCTACTAACACTACATCATCAGCGAACAATATACACCAAGGATATCCCTTGTATATTCCCAGTAACCTCATCCATTACCAAGGCAAAGAGATACGGGGTTTAAAAGTGACCCTTGATGAAGTTCAATTTTAATCGGAAGTAATCTGTGTTACCATCGTTTGTCCAGAACACTAGTTACAACATTGTTGTACATGTCCTTGATGAGGGTCACGTACTTTGATGGGACTTTATATTTGTCCAAAGACCACTACATAACATTTCTTGGTACCTTGTCATAAGCCTTCTCCAAGTCAATGAAAACCAAGTGGAGGTCCTTCTTCTGCTCTCTAAACCGATCCATAACCTGTCTTATTAAGAAGATTGCTTCTGTGGTTGACCTTCCTGGCATGAAACCAAATTGGTTTGTTGATATATGTGCCGTTCCTCGCAGGCGCTGCTCGATGACTCTCTCCCATAGCTTCATAGTGTGGCTCATCAACTTAATTCCCCGATAATTAGTACAATTTTGGATATCTCCCTTGTTCTTGTATATTGGTATCAATATGCTTCTTCTCCACTCCTCAGGCATCTTGTTCGATCGAAAGATATTATTGAACATCTTGGTTAGCCATACTATAGCTATATCCCCGAGACATCTCCACACCTTGATTGGGATACCATCAGGGCCCATCGCTTTGCCCCCTTTCATCCTTTTCAAGGCTTCTCTGATCTCCGATTCTTGAATCCTCCACACAAAGCGCCTGTTAGTGTCATCAAACGAGTCATCCAGCTGAACGGTGGTGTTCTCGTTCTCACCATTGAACAATTTATCAAAATACTCTTGCCATCTATGTCTTATCTCATCCTTCTTCACCAAGAGTTGCTCCCTATTATCCTTTATGCACTTGATATGGTTGAAGTCCCTTGTCCTCCTATCGCGAGCCATAGCCATCCTATAAATATCCTTCTCTCCTTCCTTCGTACTCAAACATCGGTAAAGGTCCTCATAGGCCCGCCCCTTTGCCTCACTCACCGCTCGTTTTGCAGTCTTCTTTGCCACCTTGTACTTCTCTATGTTGTTTGCACACCTGTCATGATACAAGCGCTTATAGCACTCCTTCTTTTCCTTAATAGCCTTTTGCACATCTTCATTCCACCACCAAGTGTCTTTCGAGTCGCATCCACTCCCTTTGGTCACTCTAAGCACCTCTGAAGCAACCTTCCAAACGCATGTTGTCATCTTCTCCCACATGTTGTTTGCATCGCCTTCATCATTCCAAGGGCCCTCTTCAATGAACTTTTCCTTAAAGACCTTTGATGCCTCCCCTTCTAATTTCCACCACTTCGTTCTAGCAACACTAGCTTGTTTGTTCCCACGAGCTTGCACGAGAAAGCGGAAGTCAGCCATCACCGGCTTGTGTTGAGCGACCACACATTCTCCAGGTATCACCTTACAGTCCACGCATGTTCGTTTATCTCTCCTTCTTGTAAGGACAAAGTCGATTTGACTAGAGTACTGGCCGCTACTAAAGGTCACTAAATGGGACTGTCACTTACGGAAGAAAGTGTTAGCTATCATCAGATCAAAAGCTATGGCAAAGTCTAAGACTTCCTCTCCCTCCTGGTCCCTACTACCATATCCGAAACCCTCATGAACCGCCTCGAAACCTGCACTTGATGTACCTACATGGCCATTAAGATCACCTCCTATAAAGAGCTTCTCGCTACTAGGGACATCTCTAACCAAGCGATCTAAGTCTTCCCAGAAATGCCGCTTAGCACTCTCATCATGGCCTACTTGGGGGGCATACGCACTAATTACGTTTAAGACCATATCACTTATGACAAGTTTAACTAAGATGATCCTATCCCCTTGCCTTCTCACCTCCACCACACCATCCTTGAGGCTCTTATCAATCAAAACTCCTACTCCATTTTTATTTGAAGTTGTCCCTGTGTACCAGAGCTTGAAGCCGATATTGTCCACCTCCTTCGCCTTCTGCCTCTTCCATTTAGTCTCTTGGACGCATAAGATATTTACACGCCTCCTAACCGCTATGTCCACTAACTCTCTTAACTTACCTGTAAGGGACCCTACATTCCAGCCTACCTAAAGCGGATCCTAGTTGGCTCGACTAGCTTCCTTACCCTCCTCCTTTTGCCGAGGTAGGTGTGAAGACCCTCGCTCATTTTGTACCACACCCGGGCGCCGATATGGCGCGCCACTAAGGATGCGACGACCCGATCCTTGCTCACTTGACACCGTGTCCAGATCGCGACACGACGCGTCACGGAGGTGACGACCCGGCCCTTGCTCATTTAACACCATACCCGGGTTCCGACATGACGCGTCGCTAAGAGGGTTACGCCCCAACAGGATTCTTTTGGGTTTCATCTCCATTAAAGTGGCTAAGTTTTTACATTGGCTCGCCGCGCCTAACATAACCCTCCTATACCAGGGCTTGGGACCTGCTATGCTGGGACACTAAAGGCGCCCCACCATAAGATTGAGTTAATGAGTGAGCAGAAAAAAATGATTAACTGTAAACATTGATACTGTATTCCAACTTCCAAACGTAAAGAAACATGCAAAAACAAATAGTCATATACCAATGTATGCACTATTTATCTGGAATATAGACAGAATGACCCTAGCATGTATGCATGCTAAACAATTAAAATGCAAGACTAACAAGCAGATGCTTTCTGCATAAATAAAACAAGATGCAATTTCCTTGGTTAGTTGTGTTCAGATTTTTCAAACTTTTTATATTACTTTAGCCTGCCAATCATCAAAATGCAGCATATGACAAACATCTGTTTGTTCAGCATAAGAGCTAACTGGGACACACTACGAAGTAGAACAAAGGTATGGAAAAGCAAAACCATAACATAAAGTACATCCAGTCCAAACTTGCATGATGAAATCCTGGACCCTGAGCAACAAAAAATGCTGAAACTAACACCGTGTTGCCCAATTTCTAGTGTAAGAAGTTCACCTAAACTTAGGTTTATTAATAATCCGTGTTCAGACTGACACCTTTCCAAACGTTGTTATTTAAGCTGCTTACTGAGATGTATGCTGCTTATCTAATTCCACACTAGAAAACAAGAATTAACCTTTGAACAAAGTAATGACTTTTAATTACAAGAGCAGAAATAATTGTAAACACATGGCCCATGTAAAGAAATAAATATTAGTACATTACCTGGTCTAATAAAATCAGACAGACCAAAGTCAATCAACTTCATAGGAGCGCTTTCATCTCTTGTTGAGAAAAGAAAATTCTGTGCCAATGAAATATAGCAATTGGTCACAAAAGGCAGCCTAGCTTTCAAAACAAGCATTATTGCTGTCACTTAAATACAAAAAACAGCAAGTGCAGTTAAATAAGATGCCAGAAGTAACCCCAGTCAAACACCTACTGGAGTGCACATATATACAAACTGTACACAAAGTGGTTCAAGCATACCTCTGGCTTCAAATCACGATGCACTACTCCCTGAAGATGACAGAAGGCCACTACGCTCAAAATCTGTACAACGATCGCTTTGGCATCTTCTTCTGTATATCTCCCACCTCTTCAATAGTTCAAGTTTGCATCCTTGGTAAGCATTAACAAGAGATACCGCTACTCGGATACTAGAGATGAATATACTATGTTGTAAAAAGTACCTGGCTAAAATTCTATCTAGCAACTCTCCACCTTCACATAATCTGTTCAAAAGAAACAATTTGAAGAAATTACCATACGATAGGTCATAGGTATTAGTATTACATTAGTTGCATTGAAGAATGAAGAGCATTTATGCACTGTAGTAGATACAACTACTATACTGTGTACACATAGAAGGATATGGTTAGCAGTGAGTGATCTAAGAAAATACACAAGCATGGAAGATCAGTTTTTAAAGTGTGCCAGCAGAAGTCAGAGATCAAATGTTGTATCTAGAGAAGCCTAATCTAGTATTTCTGAATTATAAGTCTATAAAGTCACATACAAAAGGTCACAAAAAAACATACTCCATGACAACGTAGACATTGAGGGCGTCCTCACATGCATCATAGAATTTGACGAGATTATTGTGCCCTGATAGAGCTTTCAAAATCTTGACCTCCCTACGAACATCTTCAATGGAAATGGCCGTTGTCATCTACCAAAACCAAAAGATGATATTTCATTTCAGTCAGAAGTAGAGGCAATGTTTACATCATCCATAGAAAGAAGAAATGTAAGTATTATACATTTACATGGTCAGAACTTTAAGAGAAGAAAGCATCACAAAGCATATCCAAATAATAATCAAGGCAACTGATGTTTACGGAGTAAATTGCTTATATCAGTGAACTGCTGACAAGAATGGATGGTTTCCTTTTTCCAAGAAGATCTGGATGAGACTACGAAATTTAGTGGTGGTGTTTTGGGAACTTCAAACCCCCATTAGAAAGAACAAACGCTACATTAGTTAAATCTTTAAATTTCTAGAAGCCATTAAATTATCAGCTCTTTGATCTAGCCAACCAGTTCAATATTCTTCCTTCATGAAGAAATGTTTACTACTACTAATAATGATGCAATGTAACACATTCTTATTGTCTCATTTATGCGATGCCATCTCCTCTGGAGCTTGGGCACCTTAATCAAATCTAGGTTGTCCATGAGATCTTTCTTCGCTTTTAAGTTTCTCCACACATATGCAATCCCAGTGATTGTGACCGCCAAATTGCAATGCATTAACAGGACAAGCACATTCAATTAGGTTTTCCTAAGTGCCACTAAATCTAACTAAAAAATGCACAGACCTTTGTTCACCAAACAAGAAGGGGGGAATGAAAGCATAGGTCAGGATATGCCCTGTATTGTCTAACATTAATTAACATCGGACAAGAATTGGGTAGTCACCAAGAATTTGAATCGCTGTACTATTCGACATCCTAAAGTTCCTACATGCATTCCCTTCCCATTGACCCCCACAAAAAATAAGATTAGCATGATTTCCAGCATCGGAATCTGCCGAGAACTGTCGAAACCTCTACTCAGCATCACGACCAAGAAATTGGGATAATTTACTATCGCCAGCCTAACTATCTAGCGGAGCAACTGCAGGCATGTTAACGGGATTGAACAATGGAACAGTAAAATGTTAAGCTTTCATGGCACAACCCTACTGTCTCAATGTCAAAAAACCGAAAACGACAAAAAAAAAAGGGAAGATGATGCGCTAGAGAACATATCCCTAAAATACAACTAGTTAAGTACCATGCAAAATCCTGAAATTCTCTATGTTACTTCCTGCGCCAAGCCGCCAATGCCAAACACTTAAGAGCAAAATTCCAAAATTGAAATAGGCAATCCCTAAAGTATCCTTCAGTACGCAAAATTCAGACCATTTAACCACCTAAGTTTCGGTTACTAGCACAGAATTGGCGCGAACACATACCCGTTACCTAACAGAACAGCCAGAGCTAGTATTTGAAATTTCAAAATTTCCCAAAAGTGGAATTTGGCATGAGGAGCATACCCCCCAGAGCCATGATCACCTCTCACCTTAGCTTTGGAGATGATCTTGACGGCGACGGTATGGCCCTTGAACTCGCCCTTCTTGACGACGGCGGAGCAGGTGTGGCCAAAGTGGCCCCTCCCGACCTCCTTCCCGAGGTCGTACTTGGCCCCAAAGTTCTTGGCGAAGCCAAACGTCTTGTCCAACGGGCGCTCGGCCTCGGCGGAATCCGCGGCCCCAGGAGCCGCGCCGGCGCCAGCCCCGACTCCGCCCTCCTCCGGTATGGTGCCCTCCTTGGGCTTGCCCACGCCGAGCCGCTTGGCGAGCGTGGCCTTGATGTGCTTGGCGGGCGAGGGTGGCGGGAAGGGCCGCTTGAAGAACCTCCGCGGCGTGGACCGGGCGGGCGACGGCGACACGCCCGCGGGGAGCGGGCTGGCGCCTCCGGCCGGGTACGGGCTGGGCCAGGCGGCGCCGCCGGGCGTCGCCGCCTGGTGGTACACCGGCGTGGTCGATCCGGACTTGCGTTGCCTGCGCGAGGTGGGCTGCGGCGTCTGCGGCGCGCCGTTGGCCGGGAGCGGGGACGGCGGCGCGACCGCCCCCGCGCCCGCGAGGTCGGCGTCGTGGTCCGCCCGCGACGACCCGCCGCCCGCCTTCCCGTAGCACTGCCCCATCGCGGTGGGGCCGGGCGGGACCGGAGGCGGCGCCCGGGCCGCTAGGGTTAGGGTTTGGGGTCCGGCCCTCCGCGCCGCCGCGGGTGCGAGGGTGAGGCGGGGCAGGCTGGCGAGTCGTTGCCTCGCTGGGAATGGAAGGGGAAGAAGAAGCAGGGGAGAGAGAGAGAGGACAGAGGAGGAAGCGAGCGAGGGGGAGGTGGTGGCGTCCGTTATTTCTCTCTCCTCCCCTCCCTCGGTTACAGCGCAGCAGCTGGGACGAGAGAGAGAGGCAGGGCCGGGTCGGGGCCCAGGGAGGCGACCGTGAATTCACCCATTCCCCGAGGGTCTGGACGCAAAAGAACCCCGCGGGAGGAAGAAAGAGAGCGAGATCTCTCTCTTCTCAGCGCGTACGGGCCCTTTCTCTTTTTCCTTTTTCACCCGAACGCCTTTCTGATCGGGGGTCCCCGCGCGGCGCAGGCCCACCTGCCATCCACTCACCCCCACCTGCCCGCGCCACACGGCAGGGCAGGCCAGCCGTGCGTGCGTGGGGAACCGGCGCGGGTGATGTCAGCGCGGAGGTTAGTAATAAATGCACGAGGCGCAGGCAGGGGGGCTGGCTGACAAGCGGGGCCACCGCGCGCGAGGCGAGGCGGGTAGGGGCGCGGCCGGCGGTTTGGCTGTGCCGCGCAGGTGGTGGTGGTGGGGGTGGTTCGGTTTGGACGGCCGGCCGGGGAGGTCCTGGCTCCCTCCTCCAGAAACACGGCGGCGGCGGGTGGGCGGGGGCAGGTGGCGCCTCCGTTGTCCGCTTGTACCCTTCACCGCCGCGTTGCCGGCCGCGCGACGCGAGCCTGAATCCCGCTCGCCTTTTTCAGTACTACTTGGAGTGGTTGGAGTTTGCTAATCTGGCTCTTGATTGGGTCATTAACACCTTTCCTAGTTTTAGGGGGCGTGATGTGCTCCCATTTCTGTTTCCGATCATTGAATGGCTTGAATTGAATTCTCTTTTTGTCGAAATCGTATTTTGTTGCTGTTCATCGAATGTTTTTTTTTATCTGTCCAAATGGTTGGGTTTTTCCTTTCTTTTTTGAAGGCCATGATCTGTACTGGTCCCCTTCGTTTTAGTAATACTCCAGCTTGGAATTCGGGAGCAATTTGCTATCGGGGTTTGACTGTTCATACGGCTGTTCATCTTTTGACGACGTGGAACAGTACATGGTCAAACCCCATCCTCGATGGATGTTCCCAGGACACTACTTTTCTCGCGATGTTTACAGTCTACCACCGAAGAACGAGAACAAAGCGGCTCTTTTCCGTGCTCTTTCGTCGAAAGAATAATATTTTTCTTTAATAATAAATCAACAGTATTTTAAGATATAGCTTTTCAGCAAAGCGAACTTTTCTCATGATTGGAACTATCCCGTGCCTGAGTGCCGATGCTCTGCAGCACTTATCATCATCTCTTCTTATTGGCAACTTGGCCCCTGTTTAGTTGCACTCAAAATGCCAAATTTTTCAAGATTCTCTATCACATCGAATCTTTGGATGCATGCATGAAGCATTAAATATAAATAAAAAATAAAACTAATTACACAGTTTAGACGAAATCCACGAGACGAATCTTTTAAACCTAATTAGATTATGATTGGACACTAATTACCAAATAACAATGAAAACGCTACAATAACATTTTGCCAAAAATTTTGGTATCCAAACTAACCCTTGGAATCGCTCCAAGTTCTTGACCCCAGCCCAAACGCGATTAATTGCTCGTCTTTTGACGCTGAATAGTTGGGCCTTGTTTAGATTGCAAATTTTTGCAATCCGGACACTATAGCACGTTTCGTTTGTATTTGACAAACTTTGTCCGATCATAGACTAACTAGGCTCAAAAGATTCGTTTCGTGATTTACAACCAAACTGTGTAATTAATTATTTTTTTATCTACATTTAATACTTCATGCATATGTCTAAAATTTGATGTGATGGAGAGAGAGTGAAAAAACTTTGGAATTTTGATGGGACCTAAACAAGGCCTTGGTCACCGCTGGTCTCGGTGTTTGTCTGTCTGTTCATGGGACACTGCTGCTGCTACTTGCAGTGTCGTGCCTTTGATGCAACCGTGTTGACATTTTCCGGCTGCTACCATTACTGGCGGAACTGATATAAGGGGGTGTTTGATCATATGAGTAAAATTGAGGAGGTGTTATGTGAGGGTGTTGTATGGGGTATTCGAATACTAATAAAAAAAATAAATTGCAGAATCTATCGGTATTCCACGAGATGAATTTATTAAGCCTAATTAATCCGTCATTAGCACATGGTTACTGTAGCACTACATTGTCAAATCATTGACTAATTGGGCTTAAAAGATTCATCTCGTAAATTAGTCGCAAGCTGTGCAATTAGTTTCATAATTAGTCTATATTTAATACTCCATGCATGTATCAAACATTCGATAGGACAGCGACTAAAGTTTAGGAGGAAAAACCAAACGCACCCTAAACTGAAGTGTGTATTAGCCAAAAAGTCATCTCTTGACTCGTTCGCTTCAAAGAGAGCTGCAGCATTTTGATAGCTAAAGCAGGCGAGACCCGAACCGTGCTTGGTGTTAACAGTTACTGTCGTCTGAATTCTGAAAGATCAGGCGCAGAGAAATAGTATAGGACTTTTCATCTACCGTCTGAGTGACTTTTTTCGTTCGTTGTGCAATTTGACGACTACAAAAGAGAGAGAATACAGTCATGGTTATTTCTTTTTCTTTTTTGTTGAAAAAATGAAGCTTTGTGGTATCCCAATCAAATGTCAGTGTGAAAAAAAGGCAAAAAGCCCAGGCAACTTGTCATAAAAACAAATCTTTTTGTATTCCATTAAGGGCAAACATAAAAAAAACAAAGTTGAAACAAATACTGAATACTTGGTAAAAAAAAGAAAAGAACACTGAAGGTTGAAGCCCAGGCACCCATGCATGGCAGCATGGGCAGTTGTCACTGCCATTGCGATTTGCGAAAAGAGAAAAGAGCACGGCTTTTAGCAGCTAGATAAGCACACGTAGACAAGCAAAGATCGATGAGCTCATGAGCAGTAGTACTTGCACAAGGCGAATGGCATATCTGAATTCTGACGTGATGGCTTTGGACGGCTGGATGGCATTGCCCGGCACCTTCGTTGTCTGTCGCTGCGATTTAACGGTGTCCATCCACAGCAGCCAGCAGGCAGGCCCTTCGTCAAGCTTCCAAGAACAGGTCGCGGTTTGGGGATGGAATTGATGGTAGCTCCCGTACGTTGATAGACAGCGGCAGGCAGCTTGACTAGCTGGCGCTGCGGCCATTGGGTTCTACTGCCTCTGTTCTAAAAGAATGCAATTGTGCATTTTTTTAAAGAAAAATCTACTTTGAATTAAGTATATAGACAAATACATATACTATGAAAGTACATCCCTAATGATACTTACTTAATATGATAAATATTGATATTTTTATATGTAGATAATCAAATTTAACATACTTTAACTTAGTATTGGGCCTGAATTGTAATCTTTTTAGGACAGAGGGAGTTCTACTATCCTCTTACTGTCAACTACTGCAGTGAAAGCCTGAAAGGGATACTGATGTGCCTTTTCCACAGAACTTTTACGTCTTTTCTTCTAGATAATATATGCAAAAGTAGGATATGCTTTCTGCCTTGCAAATCCCTTTCATGGGAAAAATTTGTCTTGGCTCTGGATATGTGTATCAGTGTACGCAAGCAAGGGATTTTGGAAAGTGATCTCAAATCCTGTGTACTGGAGTTGCATTGGACATGTGTAGCTTTTCTGTCAGACGTACATGATCTTTTTTTTCTTGACCAAACGGGTAAATTCAACACAATCTAGAGAGCATTTCTTTTCTATCTAGCTAGAGGAGGAAATATTCTCTCGCCATTCCTCAATCAATTTACAGAGTGCACTACATTTCCATCTCATATGAACATTTAGTGTCTTTTTCAGATCAAGCTCCTTTTTCTTCTTCAAGAACACAGCTTTATATATGTCCCACCAGAGAACGCAAACAGTGATAAACAATTCCAACAGGGCAATATATTGTGAGTGTTCTAGGCAAACTCGAATACTTTTCAGATAGTCCTCAGCTCGGAGCACGTGTGAATTCAGTGGATCCGTTGATGTCGGACGGCGACGCTTCAACACTTGTATAACTTCATTACATGTATACTAATGTCATCCTGATGCAATCCACACGATCTATGCACTCGAATTAGGTACTAACACCCCTCTTAATAATCCAATTCCATCACATGATCTTTGCTTTATTTATATCGTGGTTGGTCAATGTTGTATCCCTAAACCCTGATATATATACAACTTTTGACCTGCCCTTGGTTGCAATTTGCAGAACAAGCTTCACCAGGCTCCTAAATTCTTCAGATGATTTCACTCACAAGTAATGCCCACCTCACTATGAATTCGTGTCTGCAAATTTGTCGACAACCGCCGCATTTTCAATTCGAGGCCTGTCAAGAGAGTTATTATCATGTAATGCAATGTAATGTCAGCGGATTCGATCCGACATGCGTGCACGATTAAGCTTCATCGCGGCATTAATTAAGCATTTAATCTAGGTTATATACGTGCTGTTAGGTAAAACCTATCAGTGCCTGTTCACAAAGCAGATGTCAATTTCATCGGCAGTTCTTGTTTCATGGAGCAAATCGCGTGCCCTAATCCTCAGGAATTATGTGGCACAGTTGTGCCATCTAACAGCCACAGCTTTTTTTCTCTGAGTAGCAGTTGTGTTGCCGGCACACCAAGAAACTAGTTGTGACTTTTTTCCATGGCAAGAAAGACCAGCCAGGTTTCTCAATCAATGCCTGGTTAATTGGCTCCCTTTTTATGTTTTTTTTTTTTGTCCCATACCTTTTTGAAAAAAGTATAATAACGCCTGCTTACTTCATGCACCGAAAGAGAGCTTTCTGATAACCGTGCCATCATTCTTTAACAGGCCTGTCACTAACTGTAAATTACGGTCATGGCCCATTGGGAGCCATTATATCATTTTTTAATCCATATTTAGTTAGGACTAGATGTTTCTTTTTCTTCTAATAAAACCTCTGCTCAAAAGGACTAAGGCACTTTTGGATGTTGCAGTATATTAAAAATCTAAAGACATGCAAAATTTTGGTTTAGAGTGGACTCTATAAAACTCCAAAAAATAACTACACTTTTAACAATGTTATGTTTTTTAAAATCATAAAGTTTGTCGCATCCAAATGCTTCGCGACACTCTTAAACCAAAGTATTTTAGAAAACCATTATTTTTTTTTCTAAAACTAAAAAAACACTTTAGATCCAAACATGGCATATGTTTGCTTACCTATTTTTCTTCTTCTAAACCTTAGTTTTTACATATCTATGGTTCTATAAAATTATAGTGTTTTAATACTATGGCTTCTTAATACTACGACATCCAAACAATTCTTGGATCATTTTCAACCTATATTTAGCTATGTTGTAAAAAAAACTATATTTAACTAGGTCTTGATGTTTCTTTTTCTTCTTAAGGATCCCCTTCTAGAACATAGGAATTTCACAATATTATACAGTACTTTCACATGAATGAGTTTAATTTCATACAAAAACGCAGGAAACCGAAAAAATTCGGGCAACCCAAATGGAGCCGTAACCTCCGTTCAATGGTATACCGTGTACCAAGTTGTATCCCTACGAGTAAGAGGAACCCAAAAGAAGAGGTCATCAGGGAGCCCGTTAAAATTTGGTATGAAAATGCAATGCCGCATTCCTTATTTGAAAAACACATTAAAATTTGAAATGTTGTGAGAGAAAAAACCTTACCAAAATTGAAAAAAGAAGCCGAACAAGCCGGCTTCTTGGTCAGCCGAACGGGAATCCAAATGGAGCCTAAACCTGTGTTCAATGGTGTACCGTGTACCTAGTTGCATCCCTAGGAGTAAGAGGAGCCAAACAGGTCATCAGGGATGAGCCACTTCAAATCTTACTCCATTTGCCGTACATGCAGCACTAATCTGTCCTAAACTGTCAGCCAGCTACCTCTCACAGATTGGTATGAAGTTCAGCCGGAATTTACTGTTCGGACGGTACGAAGTTCAGCCGGAATTTACTGTTCGGACGGTATGAAGTTCAGCCAGAATTTACTGTTCTGGACTGAAAACACTGTTTACACATCACAGATTCCTCCAAATTCCTCCCTGCGAACCGGGATTAGAGTCTTGCTATCACCCACAATTGCCAACTAGTCCAGCTTTCGTATCCTCAACCAACTGCCATTTTCACCGGCACGCGGCACACAATTAAACTGAGAATCATGCAGCAGCATTTGGAAAGTTTTGGTGGAGCTAGCTGATCCAGCAGTCCCAGCACTATCTATGATGAGCTGGAACACGGAGACGAGTTTATCAGGAGCAAAGAACTCGGATCCGTGGAAGCAAGTACGCTGTACGCACGCATGCAACAGTGCGGGCAAGATCCAGCAGGAAACGGCGTACCACTAGCTGCCGCGCCTCACTGGAGTAAAGAAACCGGCCGGAGCCAGTGGCTGGCAGCAGCACAGAAGCTTCTCCACTCCATTGGCATAAACAAACACACTACTACTACCCTGCTGCTGCACCTCATCACGATGTGCTATAAAAACAAGACAAGACGCTGTTGGATGCCGTAAAATAACCGTAGTATTAAGGGTGTTTGTTTTCTGGATTTTCAAATTTTTAGTTCATGTCGTCGGACGTTCGGATCTTTCATTTGGAGAACTAAATATGAGTTAATTATAAAACTAATTACATAGATAGAGGCTAATTCTGAGACAAATTTATTAAGCCTAATTAATCCGCCATTAGCACATATTTACTGTAGCACAACATTGTCAAATCATGGGTGATTAGGCATTTTTAAAAATTAAATCTGCTTAAATTTAGCCACAATGCATGCAATTAGTTTTTTTGTCTATATTTAATACTTCGTGCATGTGTCGAACATCCGATGGGACGGGGACTAAAATTTTCGTGTGAAAACAAACACCCCTTACTCGTGGTTAGCGTCTGATTAGCGGCAGCATCTGGACTGACTCGTCGCTCACTGGCTCACTGGCTGACTGACAGATGAAGGTTCCAAGTCATTAAACAACGCCCCAACTGCAGGTGGCAAGTTTCAGAAGAAGGCGCCTGTGTTCCTGCGTATTTTCTTCGGAGGCTGCGTTTAGTTCGCGAAATTTAGAAATTTGGCTACCGTAGTATATTCGTTTTTTATTTGGTAATTAATGTTGATCATAGCATTAATTAGACTCAAAAGCGTTCGTTTTGTGATTTTCAAACAAACTGTGCAATTAGTTTTTAAATCTACGTTTAATCTTTCATTACAGCGTATCGCAGATTCGATGTAATAGCCTACTTCTGACCTTTTTAGAAAACTTTTTAGGAACTAAGCAGCCAGAGTTCTTGATCACTCATCAGTGTCCAGTACTGTACGTACTCCTACTCCAGTATTCTCTCTCTCTTCAGGCTTCCGTCCTCGGAGCTCAGAGCTGAGAGAAAGGAGAGTGAGGTCGAGATCAGTGACGCTGACGCGAGCGCCATTAAACCCTGCTCGCCTCACCTCACCCAACTCGCTGTCGACGCCTTCGTCTTTCCCGTGCAGGGAGTAAATGCAAGCAGGACAAGTTTTCGTTTTCCCAATGGCTGCCGGCGCTGGCGCTGGGGCCTGTCGTCTGGCTGTGAGCTGAAACAGCAACGGCCTCCACAGTCCAGTCCCCACTTCGGCACCTCCCCTATCTGCTGCCGCTCTCCCTTCACCTGCCTGCCTCTCGCTCTCCAACTTCAGCAGCAGCTTGCATTGCATTGGGCAGGCTCTTGGTCCTGGGCAACAGGGCAAGGCAATGGTCATGTTTCACTTATTTTTATGAGCCATCTCTTATTTTAGTAAGCGAGAGATCTTTGTATTTATGTGAACTAAACTCGCGTGAATCGGTGACGATCTTTCCGGTATAGTCCTCTTTTCAACAAAGCGAACCGGGCCAACGTCTGAAACTCTGAAGCTTAGCCCTGATGGCTTGATCTCCTTCACTCCTTACCATACCAGTGGCATGACTCATGAGCACCCTGCTTAGATCTCACGTCACATTGTGGTACTGAGTACTAGCTGTGGCTGTAAATGATGCTACTAGTTTCTTTGTACCAATAATGATCAGGGAAGGTGCCTTTTTCTTTTCTTTATTTTGTTTCTTGATTGACACCTATGAGAAGAGGAATGATAATGCACTGTCTATAGTACTACGTACCCTTACCTCACTGGCTGTGTCTTGCTAGTACAGCAGTACCGGTATGTATGTACACATATCCTATGTACAAGCAGTGGTGCATAACTGTATTTATTCCGAGATGTATCATGCTGAGTTACTGTTTCCAACTACCCAGTGGGAAGTGGCCACTGGCCACTATGTATGTACCTGCAGGCTAATGTCAACTCCTAACAACTTCTGGTGTGGCCCGTACATCCATCTTGCTAGGCGATTTGGAATTTTAGATTTGGATGGACAAGTTCCTTTTCTGCTCTGCTAATCAGCTTGTAGGGATTTTGGAATCACCCATCAAAGAGCTAGCGAATGTCAACTCACAGCTCACAAAGGGATAAGAGGAGATGTATGTATGTTGTTTTTCTTTTCATCAGTGGAAATGTATGTAGTAGCTTATAAATTCAAAATGTTAGTTATATTTGACCTGGTCACAATGCATATAGATACAGAACGCAATTTTCTTTGAAAGCAGGTAATGTGGAAATAGTAATGGAACTGGTTCTTCTCTAGCGATGTATGTAGGAGAGTTTCTAGTCAACTGTAGCTAGTAGTGCGCCTCTTGTTTATCACTATTTCAAAGAAGTGCACTCCATATGCCATTGACTATGAGCCTGTTCGATAGGCTGGTTCGTTTTCGTTGCTGGTTAAGTGAAGAAATCTGGCTACTTTGGTGGTTTGTGTGAGAGAAAAAATACTCATTCGGTTGAAAATCACGATCGTGTATCGACAAGCAAAGAAAGCAAACGAAATTTGTATAAGTTGAGAAATTTGAACTTTCAATCCTCATATCATATCTTCAGAACTTCAGCATATATGCACCAACACACAAAGCTAAGTACTGTAGTATGCAGCGAGCTGGCTGGCTGTGAGAACAACACCACAACCCCACAAATAAAGAAGCATTGATGTTACAGGGTCAGCTTGACTAGAGGTGAAATATTGGACTTTAATACTCCGTTTTCTCCGCTATTTGGTGCCCAATATTCAACCACTGTTAGCTATACAATCTTTTTGCCATATCCCACACGCTACATGAATTATATAAAAAACATTTTTTAAAGCACGTTGAAATAGTCAAAAAAAAAAATGTGCACCCTGCAGATAGGAAGAAAGGAATGTGTATAAGTGGACCAGAAAAGAAAACGGGGAACAAAATGGGCCCCTAGTGGGCTTGCAGCCCATTGTTCGAGAAGTGCCAGATCAAGTCCAAACAGCCCATAGACACCTGCGAGGCCGTGACCCCGTCCGAATCCGATCCCCAATCCCCAACCCACTACTGCAGCGAGAGGGAGAGAGAAGGAGAAGCGGCAAGCGGCGGCGGCGGCGGCGAGGTCTATGGCGTCGACGGCGGGGTACCTGGCGCGGCAGGCGGCGCAGAAGGAGCAGGTGCGCCTGCTCTACCGCAGGGCGCTCAAGGACACGCTCAACTGGGCCGTCCACCGCCACCTCTTCTACCAGGACGTCAGTTCCCCCATTTCCCCCGCCTCCTCCCTCTCCCGATCTCGGCCTCCCTCCCGCTCGCGGGCGGATCCCCTGATCTCGTGCTTCCACCTCTCCCCCGCAGGCGTCGGATCTCCAGGACAAGTTCGAGGCCAACCGACACGTGGTAAGGCCTCCTCCTGCTGATCCTTTTTTGCACACCTCGATCGAAACTCGCGAGTTACGTTTGGTGATGATTTATGTAATGGTGCTGTGACTGTGAGCCATGATGTTGGATTTTGTGTGGGTGGTGCAGGATAACCTGGACGTGATTGATAGGCTCTCATCGACGATGCGGGAGGCTCAGTACAGGGAACTTCCAGCACCCCGATCCTACATTGGTAGAGATTTCTCTTGTCGTCCTGGTCTTTTGTTCAGTGAAGGTTTGGCATCAAATCATGTAGGCTGGCACTAGCATTTTTTTGTTATGATAGAACATTTGATATTGAGTAATCGACGTCATGGTGAAGTTTTCAGAATTCTTGCAGTGACTGACTATACATTTTTATACCTAACGTTTATTCAACCCACACTTTTCGTTTTGGTCAAGACCCTTACAATGCCTAGGATTTAGTTAACGGGGATGCAATCCTTCTTCTCTTTCTGGCTTCATTTGCTTACTCTTGA